GATTATGATAGATTAGTTCCACGCAAGTTACTGGTAGATAAAAATCATTTGTGGCTTTTTAAATTGGACAGGTAAGAAGTTATCAGGCAGTTGCAGTGTGAGATTGATGGTTATTGAATGGCGGGCAAGTACAGTCGTTTTCTATTGAATTACAGGTGGAGTAAGTTCAAATGTGTGATTCGCACAGTTGCTCAGTGGTAGTCTTTTTTTTGCTGGTGAAAAAGAACATGATTTCCAAGAAAGGACATGATTTCCCGTTACGCTTCAAATGCAACAAGAAACTTGTATTGGCTATATGCAAATGATTACTCGGTAGCACACAGTAAGTCGTAGGACTTCACTCGCTACTTTGGTTATAATTTTTGTATTTCTTTCAGAACAATTGAAATTCTTTCGCAGTAATAGGGCACGCATAAAAATAAACGCAAATCATTCGTTCACTGAACGTAGCGCTTCAAGCGCATGTCAGAAGTATTTTTTGGCATCTCAGACCGCTGCGGCAAAGTATCAGAAAAAAAAACAATAAGTGTTTGAGAGTGTCTTTTGAGGAGCACATTGTCGAAATTAGGTAGAGATTTCAGATGGCGCTTTAAGAACATAAATTTGATGAGTTGTGAAAGAACAGGAAAAGAAATATCAAATTAAAGTTGTATTTCTGCACGGTAAGTTGCCATCTTACCACTTCAATTTTTGGATTTTTTCAAGTAAGGTTTCTGAGAGGGTTTTGTAGTTTTTTATCTGCTATTTTTGAACAGTTTTTTTAGCGCTTTTATTTTCTGGCTTTCTTGCAAGTTAATCTGTTCTTCTTTATGTGACATCACTACTAAAGTTTTTTCTGAAAGTCTTTGACACCTTATCAATTGGAGGATAAAAAACTGAAAAATAGTAGAGCTTTTCTTTCGCAAAAAAAGGTATAAATATGGAAAGAGCAAGGTTTTTTTAATCAACATGACTTTATTTTTGAGTATTATTGGCTGCTGTGGAAGAAAGGTTAATGTCGTTTTTAAAAAACTGCATATGCGACGGTTATCAGGTGTTGTACCGGAAGTCAGGGTTTCTATCTGTTGAATTATCGTTGAAGTGAAGGAAACAACGGAGTGTGGGTTGTTTTTTTGGATGAGTATTAAAAAATATCTTCAGTCATTGAATTTAATGAGACCCAATATTTGCTTCAAAATAATTTAGTGGTATTCTAGGTATATTGAGTCAAGGGACTGCTAGAATGTACAAATTACAAGATAAAAAAGAAGAAAGAGTTGGTGAGATTTTTTTGGTTTTTTGTGATGTACAAGAAATACATTAGTAGACTTTCAAGACTTAACGCTGTTATTTAGCGCATGAAGTTTTTGCTTGGCTTACTAAGTTTATAAAAATTTTTGTCTTTTTCTTTGCATAATACTTCACAAAAACAGGTTCTAAACCAAAATTTTATAGCAACATATCTAATTTTGAAAGTGGACCGTGATGATCAAGCATCAGTGTTTAGTAGAGAGGAAAGAGGAAACAAAAAGTGGCAAGGAAAAAACTTGCTCTAAATTAAGTGCCAGAAAAACCCGAATTTTTCGGCCGTTTATCAGATTCCACTTATCAGCGTGGTTTTTGACTTGCATTTTGTCGTCTTATATGTTTCAATTAAATTTTTTCTGTCTATAAATGGTCCTATTTTTTTATAAACATACATTAGCTGTAGAGATTACTGATGAAATTATGCTGATACAAACGTACATTTTAATATTATAAAAGTAGCATATGAGATAGCATTTATGTAATCGTGTGTTTAAGACTTTTATGAAAAACAGATATCGAGTATAATGAAAAACTACTGAATTGAATCTGTTTAATTAATAAACTCACTGGTAGCCAAAAAATGGTGCAATAAATTCACACGGTCACACAAACATGTTATGTATAAATTTTTTATTTCTGTTACTTCTGTTTGTCAGAAGCATTTTTTTTTGAACTACAGAAACGTAAGAAACTCAGAAGAAGTTGCGGAGTTATTATTTGCACTATATACTGTTGTTCTATATGGCTTTAAATTTACTGATTTTGTAACAACTACATTAAAAAAAAAAAAAAAAAAAAAAAAAAAAAAAAAA